ACAACACATTGATTTTTGTTTGAGAGGCCTCAGGGACTTCAGTTGCCTGCCATGGGGCTCCAAACTTGGTTGATTTTACACTATTTTCAGTGGAGCTTGAATTAGTTCAGTGCACCCGTATACGCAATGTTCTGTTTTCAATAATGTGGGTTCGCCCGTACATGCCTCGAACAGCGACGCGGAATATAGTCAGGTGTAAGTGACGCGAGGGTTTGTATAGCATTCGCCGTCGTTGCACACGTCTATGAACACGATAGCCTAGGATATTGCTTACGTTGATAAAGGCTGCAGTGTCCCAATTCAAGGAAAATTCTCCGCCAGGCAGAGGCGCACAAAAAGTACCCCCAGAGATTGATTTTACACTATTTTCAATGGAGCTTGAATTGGTTCAGTGCACCCATAAGGGAAATCCCTAAACTATTGCGAAATACGGAACTTTCCGGCAGCTAATTTTAGCTTGACATTTTAAGTTGCATTCACATATTCATGTGATTGCGAAAATGTCAAATAAAGTTTTCAATAGGCCCTATTGCAGAAGTGTAGAAATGAAACATATGCGCAGAGATTAAAATTAGGTATTTTCAGAACATTATATGAACACATTGAAGGATATCTCATTTTGATTTAAGATCAAGATCTGGATACTTGTGTGAAACAGAAAGGCTCACACGGTTTGCAAAAGCTTTGTGTACAGACGTAACATAATCAATTGTCGTAGATCACAACTGCAACTGTAATCATGGATGACGAAGGTGGTGGATCATCTCCTAAAAAGATGAAAAAATGCAAAAAGGGTATGTAGTTACATTGTTGTTCATTTTCATTAAAAAATTAGATGTGTACCTCTAACATGAATAACGCAGCAGGACGTGGAGACAAAATTCGTTGAATCCGCTTCATTTGATCGAATTCTGTGCTAAATGTCAAGTGAAAATTCCGGCTGTGGATAACCAGAACAGGTATTCGCTTCAAAGCAGAAGTTTACCCCGTACTCAAGAAACCGAATTGTATACGAATGCTCAATTTACAAGCTGAGCGGATGAACATTTTTTTCCACAACATAATTCACTCTCTACTGGTGATCAGCGTGTGAAGTCCGTCTCTGCCTGTGGTATGTACAAGACAGGTTTATCTTGAAGATTAAAAACTGAAACTGTACACAAGATTAACCCTATTCTCGAAGGGGTTTGACCGCTCCATACGTCATCAAGCGTTACAAGCGACTTGATTTTAAAAATGACCAAATTTTTTCTGCCGTATGTGGCCTCTCAATAAAGCCACATGTCAAAGTTTGTATGCTGGGGTTTGTGAAAACAACCCGCAAAGTCAATGTCAGGTAAACATGTTCAATACCGTCTTCAACATACGGTTGCTTGATTATGAACCTACTTTGATGCTATTTTTTGTTACTACGAAGTCACCAGTTAAATACCTCATTAAGAGAAAGGCACAACGTCATCACTTTGGCCTAGAAGAAGTAACTGATTTCAGTTTTTTTTATTTTGATAAAAAAAGTTTTGTTGGAGTTGGACCCTTCTTCAAGTAGCAATTAAATTGAAATATTTATGAAAGAATTAAAGTATCCTACGAGTGCAATTGCTGTCAGTATGTCAGAAATTAATATCCATCAAATCATTTAATTAGGCTTGATTTTAGTTTTGTGACACACTGAATTGTTCTTCAAAATTCTTCGAAACTCGTGTTTGTGTTGTAGGTCAACTGATAGAAATGATCTTGACAGGGTTTCTTCTTGAATTTACGTAAATCACCCATTTTCAAAGAAAGATAAATGTGATGACCTTGCTTATTCATCTGTAGTGTGAGCAATTGAGTGGAGACAATGCTGAAATTGTTTGAAGATTGTAATGTTGTTAATATAGTTAGACAATCCAACCTTTGTTTAGAGGGATATGGTGTCCTACCCCCGCTCTGCAAATTTTTCATGGCCGGGCAAGTCCTCCCCTATCCTTCCCCATCCCCTACCCCCAATTTCCGGGCATGAATTTACGCCACTAGTCACCTACATATTACACGTTTTACTGTAGTAGACAGCAATATGAAATCGACGGTGCGTGATATTTTTGTTGAATGTAGGTGTGGTTAGAACAGGTGCACTTAATCAATATCAGCCAAATGCACGCGATACTTTAAACCATTATAGGCCTGCCACAAAAATGGCGGATGGATACAAAACCGGCCAATTTGGATGTTACATTGCTATAGTAGCTGGCAAAATCAGTGGTTCAATGGTACCTTTTGTGTGTTGTATGCACAGTTGGTTAGAACAGGCGCAAATGGCATCAGTATTGTGCTAACCTTGTATTTTGAAAAGCGCGGATGAATACAAAGCTACTGAGTCATGTACACGATACATTTTGCTTCTTCTAGTTGGCGATATCAGTGGTGTTTCTTTGTGTCGTATACAAGCTTATAGGTGCGCAAATGCAGAAGTGATTTGAAAACATGAATTTGCAGCCAACCAACTGTATGAAATAAAGCAACACATCGTATTTGATCGGATGGGGAAGTTGGGAAAAAATGTATTATTTGCACTGCTTGATCGGCAGTAAATAACAGTTAATACACAATTTGGGACTAGGCCCACCAACTGCATTTTTGTGTTGGTGTTTTTATTCTGTTTGCTCCTTACAACAAATGTATCGGGCTCTGTTGATGTGATTACGTTAGGTTGGCTAACAGATTAATGACAAATGCAGCGCTCACGTGAGGCTGAAATGCTGTAAGCCTATTCGTCTGACAGACTGTTGGCATTGTGGATACTGATGGTGTATAATGTGACGTTTTCATTAGGGGAAATATAAAACAATAGTACATTTTGCGTTTATAGTTTTAATTTCACATTCTTGAGTTGACCTTGTGCTTTTTCATTCTACAGCTATTGAATATTCCACTATTGAAGCTAATGATCGTATGCATGAAGTGCTATATCCCTCTATCATATGCTTGCGGGTTTAAAAATAAGTATCCACCATTGTTGGTGGAAACATTACCATATTCCTTTACATCATTTTCTCAGATTTTTTTCAGGGAAAGTGATTGGAAATGTGGAATTAATTTCTAGCATGTTTTATTTGGTGTGGTTCATCGTTTAACTGCACAGAGGAAATAACAAAATAATAGGAAACTCGAATGTGTGTGCCATTTGATGAGCAATGTTGGAGGGCTTTGCGCAGTGTGGTACTTTCCAAAAGCTATTACTTGTGTCAGCACAGCAGATGGGCAGTTTTTGAATCACATTGGTTCGGTTAATGAAGGTAGCGATACAGATCCCCGCTTGAAGCTGCCAACTAGCTTTCCCTCTTATTTGGAGGTTTCTTAACACATAAAAGTGCTTCAAATGAGTATTTTATTTGCAGTTTTATCAAAGGATTCGACTCTCTGGCGATTATCTTGGAAGCTTGTTTTCCCCTCAATATCCACATGTGTGACTCTTCCTGAAAAGTGGTACGGAGTATTGAGCAGTTATCTTGGTTTTAAGTAAGGATTTTCCATGGAGATATTGAGATGGGAGATGTGGAGATATGTGCTTTATGCCCAGAAACGCATTTGTCTTCTAGAAGGATGAATTAACATGATGGTGGTAGTTCCAGCGTAGTACTGGACGCAGGGAAACTCAGGAGGGCTTGGCTTATCTTCAATACGAGTGATGCCTTGCTTGAAAGATAGTTTACGAGCAGTGGATGCATTAACCCCAAAAGAGCCGGTTTACTTTGGCCCATCTCACAGCTGGTGGGGGGGGCGAAGAACTCTACTGCGCCTTGATCGATTTTTGAAACTTTTCATGCTAGTAAAGACACTCCTTATCACACATGTAAAGTTTGAACACAATCAAACGTATAGTTTTGATGATAAAGTCATTTGAAGTTGAAGACTACCTGCGTGATCAGCCAGCGTGCATTGTGCATTACGTATACATTTTTGGCTGACTCATCTCGGAAAAATGGGCGGTGCGTAAGACAGGTTGGCCTATGTCCGATTTTCCCCAATTTGGGAGCAAAATGACCGCTGAAATTTCTCTTTTAAACTCCTAAGGTCCTAAGGACTTGACTCCTGAAAACAAAGCACTTCGGCGATATCGGGAAATTTCACCCTCGGCTCTTGTAGGGTTAAAGGTGGTATTGCTTTTGACATTATGCCTATGGAAATGAGAGTGGTTGGAAACACTTTGGTAATACAGTGCCCCCATCAACGTTTTAATCATAATTAAACCCTTTACATCAATTTATATTTCCCTATTAATCCTGTAACCCCCCCTCTCGTAATCTATGACATCATCTTGTTAAAAAGGCTCCCTCTAAAGGAAAGATTATGTTTAAATATTGGAAGATAATGGCGGTACATTTTTCCTATGTTGAACATTACGCTTCTTTTACAACTTACAAAAGCAAATTACTTTTAAAGTTTCATGGGTGCGGTATAAGTAGATGCAGGAAGAATAAGAGACGGATCCATGTTCCACTTTAAAATATTTCTTTATTAAGTTCACAACAGATGTGAAACTCTGCCGACCACACGATGGCAGCTGCTAGATTTTCGAATGACAACCATCAAAATGGTGACGACACAATCCCTTGTCGTGCGATTTAAACGTTCCTCTCATTGAACAAG